TTATAAGTAGGAAAAAATTATGGGCTAAATTATTACTCCTTTTAGCCATATGGGGAAGAATGGAAAATAAACACAGCTCTACTTTTTTAACTAAATATACTTAGGTGTACATACACCTGTATGTACAGATATAAAAATAATTTTGTAATTATGTTTATATATCTTTCTGCGTCAACCACTGATGGTTTTGTGGTACAAGCAATAACTGAAAATATGCCTATCTTCTCTATCAGAAACATTAAGTTGTTCTCCAATGTACACCAACATTGGTGAAAAGAACCATATTATACCTTCAAAAGGCTCAATAACTGTCAGAAATGTTTTTCTTTTACAAGAAAAACTATACAATATGCTCAGAGAAAGGAAGTTAGTACCATTATGTTAGCATGGACAAGGAAATCTGTCATGGTCCAGTTGTATCGTCTGCAGTAGAGATACACTTTCTACTTATTTTAGTCACTCTTCATTCAAAAAAGACAATAGGAATGTAATAGCTCATGTTTAAAATGCTAATTCACTATCATTTGAACCTGAATTGCATTATCAAATCAATCATCTTCTTGATAGCTCAATAAACAGGATTGCTGCTATTCTGGTAGAACAAATGCCTACATCTCTACCACAATCCACTGCCTCACAAGCATGATGAAAACAGTAATTTTATTATTCTGGTAAGACAAGAGTTAATGCTCAGTCCTCTGACTTGAGCCTTACAAGATCTGCATGTCCAAGAGTGGATTTTAAAAAAAAAAAGGTTTTATTCCTTGCAATAGAAAATAACACTTATATTTAAAAGCAAAATATCCATGTGCAATTGTCAACACAAATTCTAGTATTATATTAATTTTCTAGATGGTAAGATAATTAAAAGGTTCATGAGATATAATACACACCACAGTATTAAAAATCTAAGACTATACAATCTTAGTGTTTTAACCAGGACCCTTTTCATATTTCTTTACTGATGAGGGAGATTCTTTAAATGAGTTTCAGCAAACGTTAAGTATAAATGAGGGCTTTGAAAAATCTTATCACATCCTGTTATTTAGGGAGCCAATGTTAATAGTACTTTTCATGAAGACAAGAGGGGTCTTCACTTAAACTCATGTTCAGATATTCTCTTTGTGCTGCTTTTAACTCCTGAAATACACCCTTCATATGAAATAATTTATTTTAAAAACCATATAACCAGTTTCCTAGAGTAATCCCATCCCCAGAATCTGACTCCTCCTCTTGGTAGCATTTAGTTTCCCTAGTGTTACGTGAGAGTGCTAAAGGACAGAAAAACGGAATGAGGACCATGCCGGTCCAAACTATCTCTGACAGTCACTCAAGCATCCATATGGGCCCTCATTTCTCTCTAGCCCCCAGTTACTCAGTGTGTGACCCTGGGAACTGGAGCATCGGCATCACCAGGGAGCTTGTTAGAAATGCAAATGTACAGCCCCACCCCGGAGCAACTGGAGCAACTGGAGCAAACTCTGGGAAAGTGCCCAGCAACCTGCAGTTTTAACAAGCATAACAGAAAACTACGATGTATGCTCAAGTCAGAGAACAAGTCCGTCACAAACTTTAATGTGCATGAGAATCACCTGGGGAGCTTGTTAAAATGCAGATTCTAATTCAGGGGGGCTGAGGTGGGGCTTGGGAGCCTACATTCCTAATAAGTTCCCAGGTGATGTCTTTTATGGGCCACATTACAAGTGTTTCCTAAATCAGTTCTTTGCCAAAATTACTCAAGATGCTTATAAAATATGGAGAGTGGCACTACCCCAGATCAAATTAATCCAAATCTCAAGAGAAAAAGCTAGAAAGTATCCAGCAGTTCTCCATTCCAACTACACGTTAAAATTACCTGGGGAGATCTGAGTAACTCTGATTCCCAGGTCCCATCCATGGTCGACTAAATCAGGATCTCTGGGGATAGAGTGCAGGTTTCCACATTTTGAATACCTTCCCAGTGATTCCGATGTGCAGCCATGGTTGAGAAGGAATGTTCTGGAGTCTAACTGGTTCAACACCTGCCACAGTGGAACCTTTATAGTAGCCAACGTATTCGTCTAAAGTGGCTTATGTGAGCTTCCTCACCTATAAGTGCTTTGATTGTTGAACAGGAAAATGTACCTAAAATTATGGTTTCCTTGTGTCTTGAATCTTATTTTTGGAGGAAAAAAATGTGCTCTCTGCAATGGTTAGTATTCAAAAGCCAGGAGCAACCTTGAAGTATTTGTGTCTACGTGGCCTTTCATACGATGACCTCTTTCTTCCCCAACCCTGAAACACATAAATAATTGAAATTTCTGATGACCTTTCAGAGTGGCAGGGTAACAGATGTATCTGTAACTTCTAAACCTATAAAAGTCAGATTCCACCAGTTACAAGCATTCTAACTGAAAGGTCTAGACGGAGATAACAACACTGTGCTTTACATATGATAATTTGAAATTGTCAAAAGCATGTCTTCAGGTAGACAAGAAAATTTAAAAAAGACCTTAAACATACTGCCCATAAAATGATACCCATAAGTCAGTGGGGATGGGGCCATACAATGCCACACTAATAAGCACACAATATCATCCAATAGGTAAAATGGAGAAATGTGTGGTGTTACCAAGGCACTGTGAAATAATCAGTTATTTCCTTCCCACAATCAAGAGTTTCTTGAATTTGACATCATACACCTTAAAATTAGTTTAAACGAAAATGAGACACAGTTCTTCATCCTCTGGTTGCTCAGGTTCAGCGCCTTCTATAAACTAGTTCGTCTATAGAAATGTGACATACTGAAAGCCTACTAACCATTCATACCACCATCTCAATACATTCACAGTGGTCATATGGGTGTCTTATTTATCTGCTTAATAACTTGAGAGGTAGAAAATCAGCAACTAGAGTATTAAAAAAAAGAGAGAGAAACAACCTATGTATGTGTGCAAAGTGGCCACTGTTTAAACCATTTTGAAAGCATTTCCTTTATGAACTGGTCAAGCTCATTTTCCTCTTAACTGTTGCTATAGTCAGTCAGTGAAGCCAAACTCACTTTAAAATGTGCGAAAATAGCACCTCCTGAAAGTGTGTTCTCATACGCTTTGGAGCAATGGGGCGGGAATGCTAAGACAGCCTTTGGCAAACTCAAGCAATAGCTCAAGAACTGAACAGGAGTCAATTTTTACAGGCCCATGACTTTACAAAGCCAACCTAAGAATTACCCCAGGTCTAGCTTTTACTACATCACAGCCATCCAGGAGAAGGCAAAAAAGAAAAGAAAAGTCACAAATAAGTGACTTGAACTAGTGAGTATTTCATAGATTTTTTTTTAACATGGCAATCTTTTTAAAATGAATTTTACTTCTTAGTGAAAAAATAAATAGGCCAAATAAAGGTGTAGACTTAGGATTTAAGCTCCTAGAATGCACACTAGGAAATTTACAAAAGTACTTAATTCACTTGACAGTGTCCACCTGGACGCCTTTTCATACATTTCTCATGAACTGATGCCCAAAGATGAACCAAATCTAAAATGCACAGAGCATAGCAGAGTCATACAAAATTAAAAACATTTAAAGAATGAAAGCAAAGAAAACAAACAATACAAAGGCACAATTTCCAGGACACTTTATTGTAATTTTCACTTTACATATTAATTTAATATTTTAGTAGAGTCAGGCGTGTTTATAATCATCCAGTGGTAGTTCATTCCTCTAATCTCACAAAATGAAAAGCAGCAAGTTAAAAAGAACATCAATTCAGGTATTTACGCTGTGGGAAACAAGGGGCCCTTAGGCAGAAGGGAGGGGGGCGTTGATGGTTTTCAGTTTGAGTGTACTGAAATTTGTTTCCGTATTTTTCTTGTGGATGCTAGTAGTCATAATAAAAACAATCGTCCTTTTCCCCATTCTGCCTTCTTGTGGACTTTACATTCTGTCTAGCATTTAACTCAGAAAGTCAGTTTACACTCAGTTTACACATTTTTAAAGAAAAGCCATATGCCCCATCTCCCACACATCCAAATGGACAGAGATTAGAAAGTAACCTGGCTTTTAGCTTGTAACAGTGCTATTTTAAACAATTTCAACCATAGACTTGCAGGGTAAAATAATGTAAAGTACAAAAACCAAAGGAAATTGTACAAGTGCCTACACATTTACTGGATTGTTTAACTGTTCCTCCAATCATTGAGTTTAACATAGGTTTTGCTTAAACTGAAATCTACACAAAAGCGCATGCACGCTTAGTACAAATTGACAGCGCCTTCTGAGGGGACAACGTTCTTTGAATGTGCTATACCAGACACTGGAAGGAAGGAGCAAAAAGGTCTCACTCTTCAAATGTGAGGAAGCTGGTGGTGCGCTAGCTTCACTAGAAACACGTTTTAATGGGTACGTTCAGTTAAAAATAGGTAGGAAGCCAAAAGGTGTTTTAAGAAACCTCTCCCCTCCCCAAGGAACAGGGAAACCCGGAGGAAAAGATGGGCAACCTCCCTGGAGCTCAGGAGCTAAGTTCCATCACTAGCTGAATAGAAGTTAGATCACTGCTATTTTTCACCCTGCAATGGGATAGTAGCTCTCCATGTGCAAGGTACGCGGGGCGGGAATACTCGCGGGGCTTTCACGTGGGGTAATGGCGAGCAAAGTGAGGAGAGGTCGGTAGCAACAGTGATCCAGAGCTCCAAAAACGCTGCTGGGGTGGAGGGTGAGGGACAGAAACGATCGAGGGAAAGGGTCAAAACTCCTGGAAGTTAGCGCAAAGAGGAAGCGGAGCAGTCTGGAAGCCAGGGGGCCATGTCTGGCAAGCAGCCCCCCTGCTCCAAGTGTGGGGTGCTCGCCTCGTGGAGCAGAGGAGCGCCGAGTGCCCCTCGGGTCGGGCGGCTCTGGGGACCCGAGCGGCGAGAGGGGCTGAGGGGCACCCGCGAGCAGGAGGCGGAGGACTTGCACTTTGCCTCAACTCTGAGCCCCATCCCGAGCCCGGGGGAAGAGGGCGACGGGGAGCGCGGTACTCACTAGGGCTCGTTGGTGAAGCGGGGGGTCCGGGGCTGCTGATATCCATACAGGTGACAGTAGAGCACATCGAAGCAAAAGCAGCACATCTCCGCTGACACCACCATCTTCCGGGAGCCCGGGGATGAGGACGAGGAGGACGGCGAGGAGGCGGTGGCGGCGGCCGGAGTAGAAAGTAGGGTTCCCACTCCGCAGCTCAGAGGTGGAGACAGCGAGATGCCCCCGCCGCCGCTGCCGCCGCCGCCGCCGCAGCCCTGGGGGGGAGAGAGGGTACAGCCGCCGCCGCCGCCGCCGCCGCTCAGCCCGCCCAGCCCGTTGAGCCGCGTCCCGGCGCCTCCTAGTCCCAGCTCCCCGGCTCGGCACTGGCTCTCCCCGCTGCAGTGGGAGGAGGAGGAGGCGCCACCACCGCCGCCCGAGCCAGAGGGGGGCGAACTGGACAGTTTCTGCTTCTTCACCCCACAGCAACCCGCCGCCATCTTGGAACAGTCTCCCCCACGCAGCGCTTCCGACCCATAAGTGAGGCGAGCTGGCGGCGGGGGCGAGCACGCTGCGGCCCCGGCCGCCGGGGG